GTTTTTCCCCATAGTTCTCCTAAGGGTATCAGGAGGACACAAACTAGCGTCCTCCCGTCACCCAAAGCTCAGTATACTGCGAGCTACTGCTCACTATATACTGAGACCGCCGCAGCTGAAACGGATCCCGACAATTATTTCGAGATCCGCCCAGCTGCGTGAGTGACAGCTGGCTCTGCCTATCTAGATGCAGAGCCAGCTGTACCTGCCCCCTCCCCCGTCCGTTCCACCAGTCAGCGCTGGAGGATCGGACAGGGGTGGGGGGAATCCAGTCCCTCCCCTGTCACGGCTCTCTGCAGTGACAGGATCGGGAAGTGAGCGAGCGTCGGTATGTGCTCGATCACTTCCCGATCTACTGAGCCGACCTGTGACAGTTTCATTGTCACACGTCGGCTAGAGCTATGAGGTGAGTGAAAATCACTCACCTCATAGTTCTCCTTCAACTCCAAACCCAACCAAGGAAAGGTGGTGGTGGGGGGTGGGTACCTGACAAGCAGCCAAAAACGTCCCAATAAGGGTCGGTTCACACCATAAACAGTGCGTTCCAGAGCGGTCAGCTTCTGGAACACACCTATCGCATTCCGGCCGCCTTCCTGTAGGCAGGAGGGGGCATGGCACCGCAGTCAATGGCACCACAGCCACCCTCCCCTTCCTGCAGTGTGATTGCCTGCACCAGAACATGTGACACATCAGTGCCTGAAATCCGGTCCAGTGCGATCTGAAAAAATAGTGCTTGCAGCATTTTTTCAGATCGCGCAGGATCAGAACGTAGGCACTGATGCGCCACGTGTTCTGGTGCGGGTGATAGGCGGAACTGTGGTGCTATTGATTTCAATGCACTGCTACGCCCCCCTCCCGCCCCTGAATGCAGGAAGCCGGTCAGAATGTGATGCAGTGCGTTCCAGAGGCTGTCCGGTCTGGAACGCATGGTTTATGGTGTGAACAGGTCCTTAGAGTCAAGTACCGGCCCTTAGAGTCAAGTGCCTTTTTCATTTTGCTGTTCATGGGTCATACTAAAGAAAGCAGCTAAAGTGGAACAGTAACAGATGATAGAGCCTCCATTTGCCCGCATGGCAGGTACATTTTTTTAACTTAGCTCCCGCAGGTGCCCGGCATCCCAGTTTACACTGGTGTGCAAATATCAACCAGGTTTCCTGTCTGAGAGCTGGGCACTACCTTTCAACCACAATACTGGTCCATTGTTCTGATAGACAACCTTACTAGCCAATAGTGAGCCTTAGGAAACAGGATGGAGCAGGGCAACAGTATAATTTAGGCAATATAATAGATATGTGCATACCAGTGTGAGCCAGGATTCTGTGCACCCTGCAATAAGAAAATGAACCTGTCTTGTTGACATCTGGAGCTGTCTGCCATGTAGTACCTCTTATGCTTAAAGGAGAACTATGGGGTAAAGTCTTTTCCCCATAGTTCTCCTTAGGGTAACGGGAGGACACAAACTAGCGTCCTCCCGTCACCCTAGGCTCAGTATACCGCGAGCTGTAGCTCTCAGTATACTGAGACGCCGCAGTATACCGCGAGCAGCTGCTCGCTTTATACTGAGACGCTGAAGCGGATCCCGACAATTGTGCCGGAATCCGCCCAGCTGCGTGACTGACAGCTGGCTCTGCCTATCTAGAGGCAGAGCCAGCTGTCAACACCCCCTCCCCCGTCCGTTCCGCCAGTTAGCGCTGGCGGATCGGGGAGGGGGGAATCCAGCCCCTCCCCTGTCACGGCAGAGAGCCGTGACAGGATCGAGAGGGGGGCGAACGCCGGAATGTGTTCGCTCACCTCCCGATCTACTGAGCCGACCTGTGACAGTCTCATTGTCACAGGTCGGCTAGAACTATGAGGTGAGTGAAAAGCACCCCCCCTCATAGTTCTCCTTTAAACCAACTCATTACTCGTCATTATGTGGCACCGCATTTTTCTGTGGGTCCAGGACATATTGATAATGTCCCCTCAGTGAGAGGGTCCTTGATGCCCCGGGCTTGCAGGAAATGGGAATTCAAACTGCAAAAAGACTATTGGCAGAGAAGACTTACTGTGGTGAACTTTGCCTTAGTTAGGGTGAGCATTGCAGTGAGAACTGTTTTTTACATTTTTACTTTTCATAGGGACTTTAAAAAAAAAAATGTTGGAATTGGGCTTTAAGTATTTTCGCTATGGTAAAAGTACATGGAGGACTCTCTTCTCCTTTTACTTAAAATAGCAAGGAAGTGATCACAGGCGGCATCTCAAGGCTTGTTAGAGTGATTCTCCGCTACCTCTTATAATGCTTCTTGATTTGGGCTCATCATGCATCTCTCTCTATAATGATCTCTTGATTGGCTGCTATCACCTGGATACGTTAGTGCAGAGCATACTTCCATACTCTGCAGCCTTCAATTAACTAGAGAAAACATTGAACATAAGTGGTTGATAATTCCTGTATTTGTCGAATGTCTAGATTTGGAATCCGGGGGTGGTATAGCACTGGGGGGTGGTGAGGATACTTACATTAACTATCCCCCTCTTGAGAACATTGAACCTTGAGGTGTCCATAGACTACTTGCAGATTGTCTGTAGATAAAGGATGCTTAACAATCTCTCTGCCAATCTTGTGTATGAACTCTCCCTGGATTTCTAAGCTGAGACACATCTGCATAGATATGGAAGGAGGGTGAAGATGTTTGAGGGTCCTATCAGCGTGTGTATGATACCTAGATAAAAGGTGGTTGGAATCTGCACTGTCCATATGTGGCTAATACTAAGGATCGGTTGGTATTTATTATTTTTTTAGCTTTTTGGTTTGCATAAATGAAAATGTATGGCCGATTTATTGGCCTACCACTACACAGGCTCCTCCCCCCCTTCAGTCCATCATGAATGCTGCTGCTAGACTTATCCACCTAACCAACCGCTCAGTATCTGCAACCCCCCTCTGCCAATCCCTGCACTGGCTTTCATCCCCCACCCCCCTCTGCCAATCCCTGCACTGGCTTTCATCCCCCCCCCCCCTAGTTTTTTTTTAGATTTATTGGTTTCCATAAATGAAAGCATAAAAACATGTGTTTCTTCATACTCTTATAGGGGGGAAGTCAATTTATAGCAGTTTTGTAGTGGAGTTCCAAAGATGTCATATTTGACTATCCTCCGACTTGCTTCATCTTTTGTGTTACCTTTGTTGCCTCTAAAATATGGATATGACCAGCAAAGGCTGCTGAAGAGCTCTATGCATTCTCACGCACAGGACAAAACGTTATCCAACATCAAGCCATCACAATCCTGATACATGATCTCCCACAATAAGCCCTGATGAGGGGGGTATTCATATGACCCCCCCAAAATGTGCTGGCTGTTGCTATACTGTCCCCTCAACCGTACATTGAACAAAGATGTATCTGTCCTTTTATTTAACACCACAAACTAGGGATGCACAGATACTTTTCGAGTACCAGTGTCGGGGCATTCCTTTATATTAGACGTGTGCAGCGGCTAAACATGTGTTTCGTTTAGTTTAGTTTTTGGAATTCGTATCCTATATGTGTTTAGTTTTTGGGGATTCGGAACGGATTCGTAATTCGGACGAATTCCCGAAAATTCAACTTGAGGTGGGGTAGCAGAATTGGCACATTTGTCATTTCTGCTTGCTGCGCTCTCGTCTTTACTATTAAAGGGACATTAAAATCCTTTTCTTAATTTGTTTTTATCCGTTTAAATGTTACCAGTGCACGCACAGGATTTGGACAAAATCCGTTCCAAATCCGAAATTTCGGATTTGAATGCTTTCGGATTTGTTATCTTTCGGAATTTCGGATGCTCCGAATCTTCGAATCTCCGAAATTTCGTCCAAATTTCGACACGGAACGAAACGAATCGCACATGTCAACTTTTTATATACCGTGTTTCCCCAAAAATAAGACACTGTCTTATATTTCTTTTGGCTCAAAAAAAACACACTAGGTCTTATTTTCGGGGTAGGTTTTATGTATTTTTTTAATGTATAACAATCCAAAATTAATGCAAATCCAAATTAAATAATCCAAAATGGCAAAGTTAAGAATATGGTGATCAGGGCAATCAGGGGTGCCGTACCTTTCCAAGAGCAATTTGGTAACCAGAAAAAGCAAAGCGCACTTTAAATATCGATTCCTCACAGGCGGAGTGCATTAGGTATCACTCCGCCTGTGACAGGAGGCGGGGCTATAGAGGAAACATCAGCTTATGCGGCTCTGCTCCCTCCACTGCCGCCTCGCTTCCTCTAGTGCTGGCTTCATTGGCACCGCTGAATCTCTCCCGCGGCTCTTCAGGTTCCCCCTTATGCCACCACCAGCCCTGGCAATGGTCACAACTAGGTCTTATTTTCGGGGTAGGTCTTATATTCAGGGAAACAGGGTATGTTTATAAAAATTAAATCATACATTATAACAGAGATGTACAAGTCCCGGGAGCTCCGTGTGCTCCTTACAAATGACAGCGGCTTCCTAACTTTTGAATTGTTCTTGGAGCTGGAAAAGTATCTGTACATGTCCCGAGTACGGTACTTGGTATCGGTGCATCCCTACCACCAACCAAGGAGCCAGGGCAGATCCTCTGGGATGTAGACGTTTCCTGTCCTGTAGTCAGATCACCTATACAGACTACTCTTTCACATCTTAATTGGCCAACCACACCATTAGGATAAACCTTGGAGGCCCAGTGAATTTCTTTCCATGACCAGCAGATGAGGACGTTCTGGCTGGTTTATCAGTTTGGCATTGTGACCTGCTGAGCTACAGTATAGAAAGAATGCAGTGGACGTGTTCAGGTTTATTCACGACTGAACATAACTCCAATAAACCTTTTCGTCTTCTCACTAAAGCTACAAAGCTGAGTATGATTAAATCTCGTACTGTTTAAATGTCAATTTTCATGCAAGGTCTGCTTTGAGTTGGAGCACATTCTCAGATATTGTGTCGTGTCACATTATTATATTTGTGCTGTCATGCATCAAGGATCACACCGTGACAATATCTCACCATCAGCTGTTTCATGCTGGAATGCTCTTCAGTTTCTCGCCCCGTCGTTGGCTCTTTATGAACAATCTCCACTCGGATGTCATTTTTGGCAGATACCACGCCTTTCAGATCTGATGAAAAATTTACAGCTTCATTAAAACACAAATGTTTGACACCAACCATAACATTTATCAGCCTTTCCTGGAACTGTCCCTTATGGCTTTGTCTTTGCTCTCCAGCAGCCTCTACAGGACACGCTTCGGTTTCATCCAATTTAAGCCGTCCTTGGCTATGGTAGGGTTAAGGCCTGCTGGGGGTGGTAAACACAGTGGGGGGAGAATTTATCAAAACCGGAGCAGACAAAATCTGGGGCAGCTGTGCATGGCAACCAATCAGCTTCTCTCTTCCGTTTTTTTCAATTAAGATTTGAAAATGAAAGGTGGATACTGATTTGGTTACCATGCCGTCACGATCTGGATCAGGCTCAGAGTCCAGTAGCTGAAACAGCAACCAGAAGCGTAGTCAGAGATCAAGCCGAGGTCAGTAGCCAAAGGTATCAGGTATGGAAGACGATGAGAGTAGTCGGTGAATCAGCAGCCAAAGGTCGGTACACGGGTAGCAGTACGAGAGGATTGTATCACAGAGGGAGCAGGAAGCAAGATAATGGCATGAGCACAATAATCTGGCAAACAGGAAGTGCAGAGGCGTGGCTTAAATAGGAAGTTCAAGGGAGGAGCAAGGAGTTCCGAGTTCAGCAGAAACTATGTTTACCTGAGGATTAAACAGGAGATCAGGCAAGGTTCTAAGGTGGCTCAGCAGGTAGAACCACCACCAGCTACAGCAGAGGCCCCGGGTTCAGACCCGGTTCCTGACACATGCACAGCTGCTCCAGATTTTGTCTGCTCCAGTTTTGATAAATTCCCTTCACTGTATCCACAGAGCAGCTCTGTGCCATATCCAAAAAATACAATTCATAAAAGCTAATGGCTATCGCTTCAACAAAACTGCACAGATGCAGAAAAAGCTCATGAACATGGGCTTCTGAGAACCTGTGATTTGCTTTAATCTCTTTAGATGAGTCTTGGCAAATGCATGGTAAATTCATGGCACATACATGTCAGATACATCTAAATAGCCCATGTACACCAAAGCTTTTCATAGGCAGGTCATTAAAGCATAAGTGCACTTTAAAACAAGGTGCACTTATCCTTTTTGCCTGTGACCTAAACAATCCCATCTGCAGATCCGTATTTACCAAGATCCCATGGGCACAGATCCGTTATTGTTTACATCCAGCACCACAGTCCTCTCACCTGCACATTACAGACCCATAGACTTCTGTGGCTCAAAGACATGGCCAGGAAAGGGAGACTTGAAATGCTGGCTGTCAACAAACAGTGGAGCATCCACCCTCGGATCTTGCTAAGTATAGATCTGCGCAGGGCCAGGGGAGGGGGGCAAAAAGAATACATGCACTTTGTCTAAAGCCGGCCACACACCTATAGAGTATCTGCAGATTTTCTGTGGTCAGATGGAAAAAGTTCAACAGATTCCTCCATCTACGCTGAGCTGTGTGGATGGAGGAATCTCCCACTGGGCCGGGCTTCAGTATCTTGCTAGTCGGCCCCGCTGGCTCTCAAAATACCTGAACAATCTGATTGGATGCCGACATTGTTCAGGTATTTTGACAACAACACACACAGGTCCTCCGATCATCTCTCAATCGGTGCTGACGGTGTCCTGCCTTCTGGAGGGCGGCTACGTCTGTTCCCCATGGTCCCTGTAAATATTGTAAAGTAGTCACCGCTCCAAGCTCACTCTAGGGATGGACTACAATCTCATGTTTATTTTACTAATTTGTATTGGGATTGTAGTCCATCCCTAGAGTGAGCTTGGAGCGGTGACTACTTTACAATATTTACAGGGACCATGGGGAACAGACGTAGCCCCCCCCTCCAGAAGAAAGGTCAGTGTCAGCACCAATTCAGAGATGATTGGAGGATCTACAGCCGAGTGATACACAAATAAGATACATTGTTGCTCAGAGTTCAGAGACTTGAATGTATTTTTAAGATGTAACTCCGGAGTTTAGTGTCGCTAGTAGGTTTCATCTTAAAAAGAAGAGATGAATGGAAAGACACAAAATGTGGCATTGTAGGGATCGATAACCTCTGTGACTTTTACACTGAATATGCCTAAAAAAAATATAAAAAAAACAAAGCTTTTAGAATAAGATGATAGGTGGAGCAGTACATTGAGGAAGGTGAAAAATCCATTTATGATTGTGAAAAAAAAAAAAAAAAAGCTTGTAGGGGGAAATGAAAATACTGCAATCGTAATGCTTTTGTAAACCAAGCCTCACACATGGGGTCAGGAAATGGGCAGGCCGGTAATTATCAGGCCTTAGGTGACCTCTGACAGCATTATCTGCGGGCGGCAGCTCTCATATTTATATTCTGCACCATCATTGTCAATCTGTCTTGAAAATTACAACACGCACATCCTTGTTAAAGCCGAACTCCAGGCAAACAGTTAAATACACATGTAAATACATATACTGGAGCTCTTTTATTACCTGCTACAGGATTTGTATTTCTGTCAGTGCAGTCTGGGATTTACTCAGCTCTGCCACAGAGCACTGCCCTGTCTAGCAGCCCCAAGAGACCTGATTTTTCTCTGCTTCAGTTCAATAACACATACTGGTCTTGTCCCTCCCCCAGCCTGTGATTGGACAGTGAAAGAGGCAGCAGTAGACTGATGAGCTCATCTCTCTCTCTCTCTGTGATCCTGGTCTCTCCTCCTATCAGCATGTTCTTTGTACTTCAGCACAACTGATGTCTTTGTACTTCAGCACACAGCTCTGCTGTACAGGACTGATAAAGACTGAATCTAAGTCACATTCAGGTATTTACACAGTTTGCATCTAAAAAGCTAAATATAGGGAGGTATTAGTTTTTTTTTGGTGCAGTAGCGGACTAGACATGGGTTTTACTTTTGCTGGAGTTCTGCTTTAAATGAGAATTATGGCGAGAGTGAAATGCACTCGTCCCCATAGAGAGAGCCGAGGTGTGACACTGCAGCTGTCTCATGCTGGCTTTATAGCTCGAGAACTGAGCGATCACAAACCGATGATCGCTCATTTTACAATCTTCCCCCTGCAGAGTGTGGTGACTGTCAGTTATCACCCCCCGCAGGGATTCCCCCCTTCCCTCCCCGTTCCTCCAGCGCTCACTGGAGGGTCAGACAGGGGAGGGGGCGGGCACAGCTGGGTTTGGCTCTAGAGAGACAGAGCCAGCTGTCAATCAGGTAGCAGTATGGATCCCCACGATATTGTCGGGATCCTTCCTGGTTTCATTGTGGCTCTGTGCTATCAGCATGTAGCGGGCCCGCTATTTACCAAGTTTTGGGTCACAGGAGGACATTAGTGAATGTTCTTCTGTGAACGAGAACTAACGCCAAGAAAGGTTTGGCCATAGTTATCTTTTAAATATATGTTACATTCAACTGCTGAGAGTACCTGGATCTGTATTTATATCAGCCACTACCTACCTCTCTATGAGCATTCTTCATAAATACCCCCCAACCCCCCCTCATCTATTATCTTGCTTTAAACAATATAATTTGTGAACAGTTCACCTCCTTCGCTTCAGAAAAGCTGCTGATTTTGTTTTCAGGGTAACAAGCAATTATGAATGCTTTAAATTTATGCATCTGGCTTTTACACATATCCTAATCACTTTCACAGCTGCCCTGTAATAATTACACCGAGCAATGACATGTCGCATTATAAATACACTTACTTCTCTGGTTGCGAGCGCAGCAGAACGCCACAATTGTTGCCATGAGAACAAGGAACGCCACGCCGGCACCGACAGCCACGCCAATGATCACGGTGACCGGGACTGACTCTGCAGAAAATAATGATAGATATGTATAGATATAGATGGATAAGTATCACATTGTAACATTTCAACTTCCACGCATTACTTTGTTATATTAAAGTGCAACTCTAGTATGGATACATTGAACAATAAAGAGGAGGGTAGGAAAGGAGGACACTCCAACTTTTTTTTCTCAAAATCCAGTTGACTTAAAAGTATATCTAAAGCCCAAAATTTTTTTGGGGGGATGAAAAAGGGAAAGATTAAAGGAGAACTATGAGGCGGGTGCTTTTCACTCCCCTCATAGTTCTAGCCGACCTGTCACAATGAAACTGTCACAGGTCGGCTCAGTAGATCGGGAAGTGAGGGAACACATACCTGTAGCTTGCGGTATACTGAGCCTAGGGTGACGGGAGGACTCTAGTTTGTGTCCTCCCGTTACCCTAAGGAGAACTATGGGGAAAAGCCCTGACCCCATAGTTCTCCTTTAATACCCCTATATTTTTTATGCAATCTGTTTCCCACTTGGGAAGTTATTTCCTTACTTCCTGTCTAAGAAACACAACTGGAAGTCAGGGACATTTTCTTTAAAGTATGAGAAGTGTGTCCTCCTTGGAGGATTTCTCCTCTATTTCTGTTCTGGTGACAGCCTGAAGTTCTGGATTTTAACTCTTAAGCCCCGTTCACATTGAGCGATTTATCACGCGGTAATTCCCGCGATGTCGCGGCAAATTACCGCGCGATATCGCGCTCCAATGCATTTGAATGGGGCAAAGGGTCCTGCTGTCGCGGGTCGTGTGTCGCTACAGCAGGACCCTTTTTGGAGCGGATTTAGCCGCGATTCAAGCTTGCTCAATGCAAGCTTGAACGCGATATCGCGCGGCAAATCTCGCGATGTCGCGCAATATGCAAATCGCGAGACAAACGCGCGATTTGCATATCGCGCAGTGGGAACAGCGCCTTAAGACCCAGGTGACAATGGTCACAGGACACATACGGTAAATCTAATGGAAACAAAAACAGCAATAACAAAGACAGTTCTACTTCTTCACCACTCTATGAAAATATGAATATTAGAGCTGCGGAAATTAACGATTAATTCCTCGATTAATCATTAATTTTTTTAATCGATTAAATTTTTTTTTATCGGTACTCACCTCTCCGCCGGCTTCCCGGTCTTCCGGGAGTTCCGTCGGAGATCCGGTGACGTCACGGACATCGACGGACTCCTTCACCAAGTGGCTCCGTCGGCTAACGAAGGGAAGGGAGAGGAGTCCGGTGACGTCGATGTCCGTGACGGCTAACGAAGGGAAGGGGGGAGGAGTCCGGTGGCGTTGATGTCCGTGAGGTCACCGGACTCCTCCCCACTTCCCTTCGTTAGCTGACGGAGCCACAAAGGCGCAATGATTTAAAAGTGCACAGAGAGAAAGTACTTAGAACGCATCAGCCGTATCAAATAGGTTCTCAGAAGAAGCACAAAAAGGTATTGTTGCCATGTTGCTTACTGTTACTATGTTATATAAAATAGTTCTGTAATGCTTTTTAAAATTCAGTCCCGTTGCTCTTCAAGCGTGTGTAGCCAGCGCAGGAAAAAAGGATTTCAAATGACAAAAAAATAGAGTGGATTATTTAATAACCAGCCGGCCCATATACACACGGAAGAGAGCAGCTTCCAGGGGACATTCACCTTTCCATTTTTGTAACCCTCCCCTTTCAATAAAACCTGAACGTGTTCATTTTTTAAAATGTACCTTTTTTTTATTTCTTTGTGTCCCCATTACCATTGTTGCTAAGACAAGAATTCTGTATGTGCGTTATAATTAATCGAAAAATTTCGATCAATCGAACACGAAAATGTTAATCAGTAACAGCCGTAATATATATATATATAGTTTATTTTCCGGTTGGTGGATTTTCGCTTGTATTGTGGATTGTACCAGATATACTGTATCTAGACATAAGGACAGATTTGTACATGTACCAAGACCAGTACAGAACAAGAGCTGGACCTTGCGACGATGAGGCCATGGGACTCATTTTTCCCTTCCCTGCATGTCAATTTTTTTTGGGTGAAAAGTGGGGAAGAGATCAATCAAAGGCATAACATGGTGCAAAACAGCAGAGACAAAAATAGCTCCATATGCCGGGAAGGATTTGATGTCTTCTCTGGTAAAACTGAGAAGTTGCTTTGGGATTTGGTCTTCTTTCATGCTACTCCCTTCCCCATTCAACCCTACAGCCCTGTGCACAGCAAAGCAAAGAACGCATAGAGAACTATTTCTGTCCTATTCTGTATTAAGTGTTTGACCAAAATGAGAAGACACGGGTCAAAAGATTCCCTCATGCCCAGGCCTTGAGTTCAACCAACATTCAAGCTGTGCCCGGAGCAGAGTGCTTGTTTAGTATTGATTTTATACCATAGTGGCTTCCATAGCATTTATACTATATACCTAAAGGGTTATGTTTATCCTGGATGAAGTGGGGAATTGTTGAAACCCTCGTTGGTTTTTATTTGCTGCTTTTGTACCTGGCGAGAAGATTCACCCTCTTTATTGTCCTGATCACCACCATCACTACGACAGCAAGTCACTGATGTTCAGAATTTTACCGTTTTTTCGGGAACGGGAAATGAGCGAAAATCTTCCAATGGCAACTGTATAAGAGAAGCTTTCCTATTACTTTGGAGAGATTTCCTGTTGCTTTTTTGTTCTTCCAGGACAGGAAGTGAAGGGAAATCTCCCCATTCAGCTGCAGAAAACCCTGAT